TGTTAGGATTGAACTCGTCGATCACCCAGATATATATGTGCAACAACTAACAAATTGCTCAGGTCAAGTTTTGTTTCGGCATTTGCCTTCAGAATCTCAACTTTTTATAGAAGCATCTAGTGTGGTTTCGAAGCGTTTCGTCGATGAAAATCTTATTTTATTATCGAATAATTCCAACATCGTTCAGCGAATAACATTAATACTTCATAAAACAAATGAGCAAAACATGAAAATGTTCGACGACGAGTATCAAGACTCACTGGACCAAGGATATTACGCTGTTTAGTTGTCTTTGATGTTTTTCGATCTAACTTTATTTTTTAACCAAAGAACGCATAAGAATATTTGGTTGAGTAGAAACAAATAATCATCTTTTTCATTTTTCATTATATTTTGCTATAAATGTCTTGTATATCATCGTTTATTAATATGACTGCTTTCTTATCAAGTACGATATATAGACAAATAATATCGTCAACTGAAGGTGTTTGTTTATTTTTGTTCGGACAACGTATATGACGGACTTGCAATTCAACCATTAACGGCTAGCGTAAACAAACACCGGCCGTACACGTTTCACGTGAAACGACGTAACACGCCGTAAACGCCAGCAGTTGACGGCACTTTGCGACCGCTTATCATGATCGAAAACAATGAAACATCACAGCGGCCATTCATGACCACCGTATCAATATGTTGACGGTAAACAGGTGCACAATAAATAACTGCAATATGCGAACACAGTATACATCACTAGATGCATCATGAAGCAATCCGAAACAACCGGGTATTACTAATTTATGCTAACACCACTAACACCCAACTTTGTAACGACGCATATGGGTCGTCTTCACTAACACCTACAACTTGGAGAGTTATGTGCACAAACACCCACTTTATCCGACTTCTAGAAAAAATAAACCGTCAACAAAGACCAAAAAATGACCCCCTTCAACACTAACACCCAAAATCTCACTTATAGTCCACACAAACACCCTAAGTTGTATTCACTAACACTCACACAACTCTATAATCTACATTCTGACCCGAATAAGTGCTATCTCCGAATAACTTTTTCTGATAAACATTTCTCTGGAAACACATCAAACCAGTCCAAAAGTCCTTATATTGACCCACTAACACCCAAAATCTCACTTATAGTCCACACAAACACCTCAAGTTGTATTCACTAACACCCACAGAACTCTATAATCTGCATTCTGACACGAATAAGTGCTATCCCTGTATCACTTTTCCTGATAAACTTTTCTCTGGAAACACCCCTTAAATCACTTCCCCTCTAGAAAAAAATGCTGTTTTTCAAGAAGTAAATAACAGAAATCATCAAAAATTTGACCAAAAAAGGGATATCGATTTAAAAATCATACTGTTTCTGGAAGAACAGAACACGGGCTATCTTCCTATGCATTTATCTCAATTTTTATTTTTCTGACGAAAACCGACTTTTGTCGATAGGGCAAAGGTTGAAGAGATGTTTCCAGAGAAAAGTTTATCAGGAAAAGTGATACAGGGATAGCACTTATTCGTGTCAGAATGCAGATTATAGAGTTCTGTGGGTGTTAGTGAATACAACTTGAGGTGTTTGTGTGGACTATAAGTGAGATTTTGGGTGTTAGTGGGTCAATATAAGGACTTTTGGACTGGTTTGATGTGTTTCCAGAGAAAAGTTTATCAGAAAAAGTTATTTGGAGATAGCACTTATTCGGGTCAGAATGTAGATTATAGAGTTGTGTGAGTGTTAGTGAATACAACTTAGGGTGTTTGTGTGGACTATAAGTGAGATTTTGGGTGTTAGTGTTGAAGGGGGTCATTTTTTGGTCTTTGTTGACGGTTTATTTTTTCTAGAAGTCGGATAAAGTGGGTGTTAGTGGGTGTTTGTGCACATAACTCTCCAAGTTGTAGGTGTTAGTGAAGACGACCCATATGCGTCGTTACAAAGTTGGGTGTTAGTAGTGTTAGCATAAATTAGTAATACCCCAAACAACCGCATAATAGATAATACATGTATCGACCTACAATTGGCCCCAACATGATTCATATATGTTCTTATAATAAGTGAGAAAAGTCCTCCAGAAATCCGATCGGTCCCTTTTATTGACCAATGGAAACCCAGGATTCGATATCTCCTTGAAGGACCCAGAGGGGACGGACACATATACCCGTCAATCGATAGAGCGTCCGCAACAACTATAGGATTGCCCCGAACATGACTAGTACATATCCTTATAAGAAGAGAGAAACACCCTCCTTAAATTTGACTGGTCCTTTTTATCGTCCAATGAAGACCGGGAACTTGATTTCTGCATGAAGGAGCGCAAGGGGTGCGACACATCTGCTAATCAATCGATACAGATTCGCCGAGAACCATAGGTTTGGCCCGAAGATGACCAGTGGATACGGCTATAGGTGTGTTGAGAAGTCGTGGAAAAAGAGACGGTTGAATTTCTATTATATTGTAGTGTCGTGGACAGCTGTGCGTAGTATATCGTGATGTGAATCTAAAATGATTCAGGGATATATATGGTGTAGATGCGGAAGTGCACTGACGTGTTGTGTGATAATCGGTCGTATACGGACGTTTCTGGTTGCCGTATAATGCTCGATCTTGGTAGTCTTGTACAACTTAATACAGATCAATGATTCAACGCCCTAATCTGTATACGAGGATATTCCCATTCGATGAACACATGACTCCTATAAAAGCATCCTTCTGTAATGAACTGTTCAAACGCTCAGATTAGTTTTTAAGGAGAGCACTGTGGGTACTATCTGTCTTCCTAATTTCATCTTTTGTTACTACCTGTAGCATTGTTCCGCTTTTTAAAATTATTTATCGTGACTCTCGAAGGAACTTCAACAAGTGACAAATCACTTTTGAGATGAATCGTGCAATACTACATAGAATTCATTGAGACTAGAAAAAGATTATAATGGTTCATATTTTAGTTGTTTCTATTTCAGTTGTAAGCATTTTACTTAGCTTTACAACCACATATTCTGAACTCCTCTGATGGCAATATAGAGATGATTTCTGAATGTCAAGCTCGAATGTAGAAGTAAGATTATTTCTTGACTGGTTGATTGTAAAAGCTAGTTTTTTACTATGCCTCATTTCCACTTAGACGAATATTGAAACTTGTATACCAATGAACGAGATTTTATAAATTGCTACATAAGAAAAATAGTTTCCGAAAAGTCTAAAATTTGTAAAGTGGTTCCTTTTGAAGCTTTTTGAAACTCCATAGAATGATGAACAAATACATGAAATCAAAAGCATAACTGTTGTTAGGTATCAATCAGTTGTGTGGACGGATTCGTCGTAAGCTCGTGTAATAGAGATAAAAAGATTATATCACTGATGTCGAGCAGAAAAGTTACGATCACTTTGATTAGCTCTAAAACCTATCATACAGAGAATAGAACAGTATTGGATTGATACTCATTTCACTGATAAAATATCCATTCGGACATACCACTAATTTTCAAGATTTCAAAGTTATCGAAAATTTGATAAATTACAAGAAAAACAAGCAAGAAAATCAAATGTGTGTTGATCATATATTTCCGCGTATCGAAATCGGGTTGTAATGGGCCCTCAGGACTATTTTTGGTGTCTAGCCTATGTTTTGTTAGGTTTCGGAACTTAGATATTCACCATTATGAAAACTGCTGACACCTTATCGTGAATCATGAAGGTCTTTTGAAGTTTTCCGCGATTTTCCTTTACTGATTTTATAGAGCTTTCCCAAACTTTCCAAACTTTGGAACAACAGTCGCTACTACCTGTCTGTAGTTTTTGGCAGTCGCAACCACAGAGCATATTAAAGTTATTCAGAGCCAGAAGAGACAATCATGAAGTTGCATTCAATCTTGCATTCAAGCTACTATTGATTAAGAGACACGTAATAGCACCCAGAAAGCGTTTATAATTGTCTATATGATACTCAAATTTGCATTGCTTATCTGCATCCGAGTAAAATCTCATGCATCATTTTATCGTATCAATAAAAACTGCGTTTTTATCAAAATATTTCGCCCAATAACGTAGAATAATGAATTATTGTAGTGCTGCTCGCTTACAAGTTTATTTAGATTATTAAGATCCATTGAATTACAGCTCATCGATGAAATGCAAATTGTACTACTTCGTATTCATAATCATTATTATTGTAATGGTAACACCAATCGACTTTTTTTTCTTCTACGATTACAAGGCTACACAAGTTCGCGATAGAACAAAACCGATAAAAATGTTACCAACTACTTCAGTCTTGAATAAACTGTCCTGGTCATTGACAAACCGTAATGCAATACGGTGGAAGAGATTACATCGGCAATATAATGAAAGGGTGAATTTGGCATCTTTTTATCAACCGAAGACTGAGAAAACTATGATATACTTCTGCAACTCAACGTGTCATGGGTGGGCAGATCGACTTAGGGGTATGATATCAGTATATATGCTAGCACTTCTGACTCAACGACGCTTCATGATTAGCATGGACTTTCCTTGTTCGATTTCGAGGGTCTTGGAACCCAACTTCGTTAATTGGACATTTGTAAAACCAAACAATGGCTCTAATAAGAATCGCGCGCAGCTTACTATTAATACAATGCCTCTTTATCCGCCAACGATTCGGAAGAACATGACGCAAACAATCGAGTCAAAGAACTTCATAGCTCTCTGGGAACCCTATGATGATGTTTGGATATCGACTAACGGATTGTACGTTTCAGGAGCATTGAGAAATCCATTTGTTAATTCATCACGTCTGCTTGGTCGATTACCTTTGACGAAGGCCACGCAACAACTACTTTTTCCATTCCTGTTTGAACTGCTTTTTAAACCAACACGCGTTGTATGTCAAGGTGTAGAAAAAATACTGCGCATCAAACACAAACAATTAACTTGCCTTCATATCCGAATAGGAAGAAATCCTTCCAACCCGCACGATTCAGTAAAACCAGCACGAATCAATATGACACGGAAGATGCTCGATTTTCTCTATGATGATCCCTGTGTTGCACGGACTGAAGACACTCTAATTTTCGTCAGTTCCGATAGTGATCAGGCCGTTAAAGAAGTATTTCAATACTTTCCCAATTCATCTATTACTGTGCCCGGTCCAATCATACATATTGATCATGTTAATAAAATACAAGCACGTAAACAAAACAGGGAGAAGAATTGTGCTGGTTTGATAAAGGTCCTCACTGATTTTTATGTTCTTGGCGAATGTCAAGCAGCTCTACTTTCATATAGCGGCTTTTCAATGTGGGCTAATCAACGAAGGACGAATCCTAATGATAAACTTTTCATATATGATGATCGATTAGGTAAAATAAAAAGAGCTAAAATATGATGACGTCGGTTTTCACGTTAAGTTTAATTTACCCTGCTACACCTTTTCAGATTCGAGAAAAAATGTCATCAATTGTTTTTAGAATTTGATCAAATCATCAATTCATCAGAACAAATTGCATGAGCGTGTGGGTGTGGGTAGGTGACAGGTGTGGATGTGGGTGTGGCTGTGGGTGTGGGTGTGGGTGTGGGTGTGGGTGTGGGTGTGGGCGTGGGTGTCGGCGGGTGTGGGTATGGGGTGTGGGTGTGGGTGTGGATGTGGGTGTGGGTGTGTGAGTATGCGTGCGGGTGTGAGTGTGGGTGTGGGTGTGGATGTGGGTGTTGGTGTGGGTGTGGGTGTGGGTATGTGAGTATGCGTGCGGGTGTGAATGTGTGGATATGCGTGTGGGTGTGGGTGCGGGTGTAAGTGTGGGTGTGGGTACACGTCTGTTATTCATTCGCACCCACCCACACCCACACTTACATCCACACCCACACCCACACCCACACCCCACACCCACCCACACCCACACCCATACCCACATCCAAACCTCCATCACCCACACCCCACAGCCACATCCCATACCCACCCACACCCACACCCACACTCCACCCACACCCACACCCACACCCA